GTAAAACGTGCCCATCCCCAAGGCCCTATATGTATGTGTTATGTGAGAGTGATGTGGATGTCTAGGTTGCAGAATAAAATTGAGGCACAGGCGGCCAGAAGGGGACAGAGGGGGAGTGCCTCCCCTGCACCCTGGTGACATACCTGCACCCCAAGCCCTGCGTGTGTGAGTGGGTGTGGTAGAGCGGGAATAGGGAGGCAGCTGAGGATGGGGAGGGAAGAAAGAAAGGGAGGGGCAAGCGGCCCCTCCCTGGGGCCAGCTCCCCCACTGACCCCAGTAGGCACCCCCACACTCTGGAACCCACCAGGGCAAGGGGGCCCAGGCCCATCCGGACCGGGGCCCGCAGCAGCAGCACCGCCCAGCCCCACAGAGTCCGGGGCAGGCCACTCGACTCCACCCCAGAGAAAACTGCACCCACCCTATCATCCAATCATCTCCCAAACTACACAAGACAATAGACACACAGGTTGAGTTCATTCTCCACCTCTTCTATATCTCTCCCCCCACCTGCAGAATGAGCTCCTGTAGTGAGGAGACCACCTGCAAAGATATAACAACCTCCCCACCAGTTAGAGAGCCCCCTAGTAGGGCCGATGCACCAGAGGTCCCCTGCACTGGGGCTGAGCCCCCCTGCACCCACCCGCCCACTGCTCCGGCGACACAACAGCCAGGACCCAAGCTCCCAAGGCCCGGCCAGCACCCCAGACCGGGGGGCGGAGCACTCCCAGACCCCCAAGCCTCCACGCCCGTCCCGGACCCTCCCAGGGGCAGCCAGGCTACCAGGCCAGTAACCAACGTCCTCCAGCACAGACCCTCCCCCATCTCAGCTGTAGGCAGCCACAAGGAAAGCACCATCTAAGAGCCCCCAGAGCTCCTAACCAGGCCATGGCCACATCCCCCAGGTTAGGCCCTCTAGGGAAACATCCCTAGGGACTCCCCAGATGCCCTAAGGCCGTCCCTACCCCCATATCAACCACAATAGCGAAGGCAGTACCAAACCATGATCCCCCACCCCCACTAGGTGATGAAGCCGATCAAAGGAGCCCAAAGGGATTGATCAAATGTGATGGCAGATGTTGTATCAAGATTAATGTGATCTATTAGATGGTTTCTATATTGGTTAGAATTAAGATTATTTTTATTTTTCCAGTTAATGAGGACCATTTTCTTGGTAATGCATAGGGCCGTAAAGACAACGTGGGCTGTGTTTATTTCTGCAGTGACCTCATCCAAGTTGCCCAGCAAGCATACTAAAGGGGAGGCTGGAATGTTACATTTCAGACACTTTGATAAGTCTTCACATATCTCACGCTCCACGTGAGTTACCTATGATCGCCAAACTCTTTTGAATCTCTGGCCTTTGGACTACCAGACACAAGATTTTAAATGGAGACCTGAGAATCCTCCTCCGCTTTCGAAGGACTTTCCTGATTACCTCCGCCACTTACCATCTACCTTCTCTCAAAGGAAACGTTCACGGAGATGGGGTAAACGTGGCGGCATCCGTGTTCGTATCAAGGCCTTTTTAAAGTCCTATGTTGCAACAAATGATTGCTATTCTATAAACATCTTGTCATCTATTCATCTAAATGAATAGTGGTATTGTAAAGCGCTTTGGGTGTATTGAAAAGCGCTATATAAATCCAATCCATTATTATTATTATTATTATTCCTGCCCTCCGGGACCATGCTAACTTCAGACTGTTCTGTCATCGCTGGATTCACCCTGTTGGCCCTTATGGTTACCTGGATCTCCCAGCTGATCCTCCGCCCGCTTGGTGCTGGGTGCAGTCCTCCAGAGGAGGTGCGAATCTTGGCAACCTTCGCCTGCTGCGGCGTTTTCCTACCAGTAACAGTGTGACCACTCTCCGTATGGTCTTACTAAATACAAGGTCATTGACGAATATTTTTTTATTTTTTTTATTGTTTTTTATTTTAAATGATATTCTATCGTCGGGACTGGATTTCTTATTCCTGACGGAAACTTGGCTTCGCCCCGGCGAACTTTTTCCCTTCTCGGAGCTGCTCCTACCTGACTATGCTTTTATTAGCTCACCCTGGACCACTGGAAGAGGTGGAGGGCTAGCTTCAGTTTTTAAAAACAAACTTCGATGTCGGCAGCTGCCACCTGTTCTGTACCCCAGTTTTGAGGTGCAGTTATTGGAAGTGAACTGCGTCCCCTCCATCCTCTGCGCTGTGGTGTATCGTCCCCCGAAACTTATCAAGGATTTTCTTCCAGAATTTGCTGATCTGCTGGGGAGCCTTGTGCTACGTTATGACTGTATACTAATTGTCGGTGACTTCAACATTCATGTTTGCTGTGAGGACAGTTCGCTAGCTAAGGATTTCCTCGCTCTTATTAGCACCCTCAATCTCACCCAGTGGGTAAGTGAACCAACTCACACTAAAGGTCATATACTTGATTTGGTCTTATGGTCTGGATATTTGCATCACGGACATAGAGGACTTTGGGCTTTCAGATCACTTTCCGGTTTTGTTTAATACTGTAGCGAGCGATGTGGATTTGAACAGTGATGGTCCTGTGCGGCAAACGCGCACGATTAACTCCCAGTCAATCGCCTACTTCATTAATGCTTTCCTTGACTCTCCCCTCTCTGCTGCTAACTGTAATGGGGTTTTATCAGCGGATGAGCTTGCTAACCTCTTTTATACTACATGCACTGACATTCTTAACTCTGTGGCACCTCTGAGGATTAAACAACCCTGGCTAAATTATACTACTCGCGCCCTCAGGCGTGAAGGTTGTCGTGCTGAAAGAAAATGGAGGAAAGGCAAACTCCACGTCTCTTTGGACATCCTCCATAATTGTTTATCTAAGTATCAAAAGTCTGTTAAAATCTGCCTTTTTGTCTAGCATTATTATGACTAATAGCCACAACCCCGAGCCCTTTTTAATACTTTTAACTCTGTGATAAACCCTTGCACTATCACTTATAGGGACGCCTCCCCTGCTCTTTGTGATAAATTTTTAAAGTATTTCTCTGATAAAATCTCAGCTCTAACGGCTTCTCATCCATCTCATTCATCATCAGTTTTAGACCCAGTTCCAGCCTCTGAATGCTTGACTGTCTTCCAACAGTTTGAGCCAGTGTCTTATTCTGCTTTAAAAGATACAATTGATCATCTCAAAATCTCTGGTTCCCCGCATGATGTGGCTGGAGTCCCCATGGTCCAGAATCCATGTGGACTATGCAGGGCCTTTCCTTGGGGAGATGTTTCTAATCATTGTGGATGCTCATTCCAAGTGGATGGACATTTACCCTGTGAAATCCTCTACATTACAGGTAACTATAGAGAAACTGCGCCAGAGTTTCAGTGTGTTTGGACTACCTAAAATGTTAGTTTCAGACAATGGAACATGTTTCACAAGTGCTGAATTTGAGTCATTCATGAAGCAGAATGGAATTGACCATGTGAGATCAGCACCTTTCCACCCTTCTTCAAATGGGCTGGCTGAGAGGGCGGTCCAGACCTTTAAGGAGGGGATGAAGAAAGTCAAAGGTGATACCTTGCAAACCAGACTGTCCCGATTTCTGATGATGTCACGGAGACTCAGATCAGTTTTGGACTTTCTCATGTCTGATGTGAAAACAAAAGTGCAGCACAAACAATTGAAACAGAAAGAAAATCATGACACCAAGAAAAGACTGAGAAGTTTCACACCAGGAGACAAGGTCTTCATCAGAAACTACTCCTATGGCCCGAAGTGGATTCCCGCAGTCATTGTGAGAGCATCGGGTCCAGTGTCTTACATTGTTACCATTGGATCAGGTCAAACTGTGAAGCGGCACATCAATTAGGTGAGAGCAAGAGTGGCTGACACTGTTCCCAGTACACCAGACAGGGAGGTGGAGCCATTGCATGACAAAGAAGCAGTGCCTGAGTGCTGCTTGCCATCAGAGTTGGACACATCGCCACAACCTCCGGCAACGGAGTTGCCTTATGCTCCGGAGACTCCGGCTCCCGGAGACTCCTTAATGACACCAGTGTTGTGACGTTCCCAGAGAGAGAGAGACTTTAAAGGACTTTGTTAGGTAGAGTGAGATCTTCCAGGAATAGAGCAACAATGCGCTCTGATCTCACAGGAAGGACGTACCTTCCTAGTTATTAAAAAAAAAAGAAAAAGGAAAAAGAAACATTGAAACATATGTACAGTTGTATGGTTACCTTAATTACGTGTTGATTGCTTGTTAAGCATTCTTTACATAAGCAGTTATTTTGTAAGTCCAGGGAGTTGTTGACTTAAGGGGGGAGGAGATGTGGTATCGCAGGAAATTAGTTGGTTATATATGAGTATGCATAATAGTTCATAGATACCTACATCCTATGTTCCTGTTATTCATCTGAAAGAAACAGAATGAGTGTGTCGTTACAATGGTAATGCCAGGAGAGGCAGTATTGGTTCTGTGTTACATTTATGTTGTAAGAAAGAGGAAGAAGAGAGTGTTCTGTAGGAGGCACTAAAATGGACACTGATGTTCTGTACATGTACTGAAAAGAAGGTTCAGTAAACAAGTTGCAACGATACTCCGGTGTAAGGCTCAGTTATTTTATTTTTGTTTTTGAAGATGCAACATGTCTTGTCAGGATTATTTTCGATTATGTGTTTGTTTGTTTTGGATTGCTCAGCAATAAAGCTGTTTTGAGTTTTACTTTTTGCCTTTGAAGTCCTGCATTTGTGGACCAACACAGCCAACGTGACGGCGTCAGCAAAACTACTGAGTCGTTATTACTAATATGTAGTTCTCATTTATCAAAGAAGCAATGTGTTATTGCGTGTGCAACTTAGTTTCACTTAAAGTCTAAGTCCACTTTCAAGTTTGGCTAAGGTTTAACCAAATTTTATGTTCTTCTTCATTTATTCTCCAGATTTTTCACTTGTAAGTAAATAATATATAAATGCCCTCAGCACATCAGAGAAACTTTCAGATCACAAAAAAATCTGCTTTGCCAACACTCTTTGATTTCTTTGTGTATAGATTCTGATAGGAGAAGCGATCCTGTACTGCTATCTGTCCAGGAAGTCATCAGCCAGTCAGACTGAGGCCAACATCAATGCTGCAGGCTGCAATTTCAACTCCTACATTCGCAGGGCTGTACGCTTCATAGGTAGGAGGACATATTCACTGATTATATGTATCATTTACTTGCTCCAACAAGAATCGAAACACTAATACATTGAAAAGCAACTGCAAAAAGAACCACTAACTTTGCTATGTGGAACAGAAAGGAGGTTCTCTCAGCTGCTCCTTAATAATGAGTCATCACAGCGGAGCACTCCACAGTTTTTTGTTTAGCTTAATTTTATGCAAGATACACTTCCTTAACCAAAAAGTTTATATTTTTATACTGCATGGTTACTTGAAATCAGCCATTGAGATATTTGACGTTGGTATGCATTCCACAGTGTGTTGTTGCCAAAAGATGTATTAACTTCAGGGGCATATATATAGAACATTATGTTATCACAGCCAAGGCCAAGGACGCTTCTCTAATCTATATACACCTGTGTGTAATATACACAAAAAATTCCCCGCTTGCCCCCAGTTAATCCTTCAGGCTCGGGTCCTCTACCAGAGGCCTGGGAGCTTGAGGGTCCTGCGCAGTATCTTAGCTGTTCCCAGGACTGCGCTCTTCTGGACAGAGATCTCCGATGTTATTCCCGGGATCTGCTGGAGCCACTCGCCTAGCTTGGGAGTCACCGCACCTAGTGCTCCGATTACCACGGGGACCACCGTTACCTTCACCCTCCACATCCTCTCGAGCTCTTCTCTGAGCCCTTGGTATTTCTCCAGCTTCTCGTGTTCCTTCTTCCTGATATTGCTGTCATTCGGAACCGCTACATCGATCACTACGGCCGTCTGCTTCTGTTTGTCTACCACCACTATGTCCGGTTGGTTAGCCACCACCATTTTGTCCGTCTGTATCTGGAAGTCCCACAGGATCTTAGCTCGGTCATTCTCCACCACCCTTGGGGGCATCTCCCATTTTGACCTCGGGACTTCCAGGTTATACTCGGCACAGATGTTCCTGTACACTATGCCGGCCACTTGGTTATGGCGTTCCATGTATGCCTTGCCTGCTAGCATCTTGCACCCTGCTGTTATGTGCTGGATTGTCTCTGGGGCATCTTTACACAGCCTGCACCTGGGGTCTTGCCTGGTGTGATAGACCCCAGCCTCTATGGATCTTGTGCTCAGAGCTTGTTCTTGTGCTGCCATGATTAGTGCCTCTGTGCTGTCTTTCAGTCCAGCTTTGTCCAGCCACTGGTAGGATTTCTGGATATCAGCCACCTCCTCTATCTGCCGGTGGTACATACTGTGCAGGGGCCTGTCCTTCCATGATGGTTCCTCCTCTTTCTTGGGTTTCTGGTGCCTGAGGTATTCACTGTCAGTTGGGGCCATCTTCCTGATGTATTCGTGGATGTTCGTTATCTCATCCTGGACATCCCCGGCCCCCTTCCTTCTGCTTAGCGTACAGCCTCAGGATGCTGGACTCGGGGTGAAACCCTCCATGCATGGTAAGGAGCTGGGTGCTTCGACTTATGAAAATTTTGACTTACGAAAGACCCTCTGGAACAAATTAATTTCGTAAGTCAGGGTTCCACTGTATATGGTATCACTCTATCAAACAAGAGGACAGCCGCATGTAGCTATGATGGTGTTTGCTAGTTCACCTTACATGCATTAATGTAATAACGTGGTTAGCCTACTCAACGTAAATTACACACGAACAACATTAAGCTACTCACGCAGAGAAGAACGGCTGCTGCTGCATCATCATCCTCATCATTTCTGCTACACTGGCAGGGCTAGGGGCCAGAACTCTCCTCTTCGGGTTTTTGGGAGAGGTTGCTATCTCCGGGTCCGATAACAGGCACCACACCCGATGTAGATGTGCTCGGTGTGAGGTCTCGCAGCAAGCTATCAAATACGGTGCATTTCTCGGCTTTTAAAAAACGCTATGCGTCACCAGGTGTTTCATCAGATTCGAGGTTTTACAGTGACTTGCAAAAGTATTGGGCCCCTTGAACTTTCCCACATTTTGTCACATTACAGCCACAATTATTCAGCCCCTTAGGTCTGAGTGCAGTCAGTTGCACATAGACGTTGCCTGATGAGTGCTAATGACTAAACAGAGTGCACCTGTGTGTAATCTAATGTCAGTACAGATACAGCTGCTCTGTGACGGCCTCAGAGGTCGTCTGAGAGAATATTGGGAGCAACAACACCATGAAGTCCAAAGAGCACACCAGACAGGTCAGGCATAAAGTTATTGAGACATTTAAAGCAGGCTTAGGCTACACAAAGATTTCCCAAGCCTTGAACATCCCACGGAGCACTGTTCAAGCCATCATTCAGAAATGGAAGGAGTATGGCACAACTGTAAACCTACCAAGACAAGGCCGTCCACCTAAACTCAGGCCGAACAAGGAGAGCGCTGATCAGAAATGCAGCCAAGAGGCCCATGGTGACTCTGGACGAGCTGCAGAGATCTACAGCTCAGGTGGGGGAATCTGTCCACAGGACAACTATTAGTCATGCACTGCACAAAGTTGGCCTTTATGGAAGAGTGGCAAGAAGAAAGCCATTGTTAACAGGAAACCATAAGAAGTCCCGTTTGCAGTTTGCCACAAGCCATGTGGGGGACACAGCAAACATGTGGAAGAAGCTGCTCTGGTCAGATGAGACCAAAATGCAAAACGCTGTGTGTGGCGGAAAACTAACACTGCACATCACTCTGAACACACCATCCCCACTGTCAGATATGGTGGCGGCAGCATCATGCTCTGGGGGGCTTCTCTTCAGCAGGGACAGGGAAGCTGGTCAGAGTTGATGGGAAGATGGATGGAGCCAAATACAGAGCAATCTTGGAAGAAAACCTCTTGGAGTCTGCAAAAGACTTGAGACTGGGGCGGAGCTTCACCTTTCAGCAGGACAACGACCCTAAACATGAAGCCAGGAAACAATGGGATGGTTTAAAACCAAACATATCCATGTGTTAGACTGGCCCAGTCAAAGTCCAGATCTAAATCCAATCCAGAATCTGTGGCAAGATCTGAAAACTGCTGTTCACAAACGCTGTCCATCTAATCTGACTGAGCTGGAGCTGTTTCAAAGAAGAATGGGCAAAGATTTCAGTCTGTAGATGTGCAAAGCTGGTAGAGACAGACCCTAAAAGACTGGCAGCTGTAACTGCAGCAAAAGCTGGTTCTACAGAGTATCGACTCAGGGGCTGAATAATTACGCACACCCCACTTTGCAGTTATTTATTTGTAAAACTTGTTTGGAATCATGTCTGATTTTGGTTCTACTTCTCACGTGTGCACCACTTTGTGTTGGTCTTTCACCTGGAATTACAATTAAATTGATTCATGTTTGTGGCTGTAATGTGACAAAATGTGGGAAAGTTCAAGTGGCCGAATACTTTTGCAAGCCACTGTACCTCCTTTGCACAGTATCAGCTTAAAGCACTTGTTGCAGGCTGCTGAGTTTGCATCTTTTACTGTGAAGTACAGCCAGACTTTGACCACTTCGCCTTTGCCTTTAATCTGTAGCTCTGCTCAAAAGAACGAACGTACCTGGGCCCGCCTACTATCCTTGGAAAGGTAAAATGATTGGCCAGAATCCAAAGTGTATGACATCTCAAGAAAAAACAAAAGGCACCGAAATAAAGCACCGAAATGTGCGCTGCTTTTCGGTCTGGTTACTACCGTTTATGTCAGAACCGGTGCCCCGGATACCGGAACCCATCCCTACAGATAAGTGCTTGCAGACTGCGGTTTTCTGATCCATGTACGTGCACATTTTTGATTCTCCAACACGTAAATAAAGTTTGTGAACGAGGACAGAATTTCTCTTGTCATGTCTGGAGCAGATAAACAAGCACTTAATAGGAGCCACTGAATAACGATGTTATGTAATATGACTATTATATGTTGGTGTATTATATGAATGCGTATAGTGTTCTCTATTGTAAAAGCTTTCTTTTTTTACAGGTGTCCATATCTTTGGCCTGTGTGTGACAGCACTGATAACAGACATTCTTCAGCTATCCACTGGCCAGCATACTCCCTATTGGCTGGATGTATGCAAACCTAACCTGACCCACCTTAACATGTCCACCTGCGATGAAGCGTTTATCCTAGAGGATATCTGCTCTGGACAGGACATAGGGCTCATCAATGCTGGCAGGTGAGGCTTTGATTTACTGTGTGTGGGAGAGTGTGAGAGTGGATGCATGTGGGTGTGTTTTTGCACAAAACACTAGTACTGCCTCAAGTTGTAAAGTGCACACACATTGGACAGCAGAAGCTATAGAATGAAAGAAATGTTGTCATTTCATTAATAATAAAGCACTGAACATGAGCCACAATCCAAACTGTGGGCGTTTCAGCTGTATGTTTTACGTTGAGCGTAACAGACTGTGCCTGCACACGCCAAACTGCTGACCAACGTCACTGAAATTTATATGTAGAAGGCATTGTCAGTCATCTCGAGCATCTTTTTCCAAACACCATTTCCTTCAGATTATTAAAATGTTCTTTCTGTTATGAAAATATAATTATTAAAGGCAACCTTTATGCAAATCTGTAAACAGATTAAACAGACCTACTCAGTGACCCATTTAATCATTTTACTGAACTATACTGCGTCATACTTGGTATATTAAGGACAACAGATCAAGCTTTAGCTAAGAAGCTGCATTTACCTAGAGCAGATATTAAAAACCAGGTTGAGCCGTTGCCCTTCTGGTTATCCTTCCTCCTTATTGAACACCTGCTCGGGCAGATTTGTCAGCACGCACACGTCACGCGTCCAAGTTTCTTTGAAAGTCATTTTTCTGTTGCACATGAATATTCAGCATTGTTCTCAGCTGTCTGAACATGATAATTAACATCAAGAACACTCTGCCGCTCTGCTTTATAGGAAATCTTTCCCCTCCCAGCATGCTACGCTGGCTGCCTTTGCTGCTGTCTACATCTCAGTAAGTGGTTACTGCATTTACACATATGAAGAACAACACTTCAGTGTGACCACAGTCCTGTTCTAACCGTTATGGCTTGTTGCAAATCAAATCAAATCAAATCAAATCACTTTTATTGTCACATCACATGTGCAGGTACATTGGTACAGCACATGTGAGTGAAATTCTTGTGTGCGAGCTTCACAAGCAACAGAGTTGTGCAAAATACAATAATGTAAACAAGCAAAATACAAGAATGGCTACATCTGAAACTAATAAATATATGTACAATATATAATAGTATATGCATTTCTGGATGTGTATACTAAATATTTTTCTACATGTGTGTGTGTGTGTATGTGTGTGTGTGTGTGTGTGTGTACACATATTTTACAAATTAAATAGAGTCAACAATAAATAAAATATACAGAGTGAGACATGTGCAAAACAGTGGCGTTACTGTACAGTATGGAGTGCATAATGTTAAAGTTCCAGTAGTGAAGCTGAGGTGTCTATGACGTGTTCAGCAGTCTGATGGCCTGATGGAAGAAGCTGTCTCTCAGTCTGCTGGTACGGGACCGGATGCTGCAGAACCTCCTTCCTGATGGAAGCAGTCTGAACAGTTTATGGCTGGGGTGACTGGAGTCCTTGATGATCCTCCCCGCTTTCCTCAGGCAGCGCTTCCTGTAGATGTCTTGGAGGGAGGGAAGCTCACCTCCAATTATCCGTTCAGAGCACCGCACTACTCGCTGGAGAGCTTTGCAGTTGTAGGCGGTGCTGTTGCCATACCAGGTGGTGATGCATCCAGTGAGGATGCTCTCAATGGCACAGTGATAGAAGGTCCTGAGGATGCGGGGGCTCATGCCGAATCTTTTCAGTCTCCTGAGAAAGAAGAGGCGCTGCTGCGCCTTCTTCACTGTTTTGTTTGTGTGTACTGACCACGTAAGATCCTCAGCCAGATGTACACCAAGGAACCGGAAGCTGCTCACTCTCTCCACAGCAGCGCCGTTGATGGTGATGGGGGTGTGTACTTCTCTGCACCTCCGGAAGTCCACTATCAACTCCTTTGTCTTTGCGACGTTGAGGGTGAGATGGTTGTCTTGACACCAGTGGGTCAGGGCGCTGACCTCCTCCCTGTAAGCCGTCTCATCACCGTTGGTGATAAGACCCACCACTGTAGTGTCGTCCGCAAACTTCACAATGATGTTGGAGATGTTAGTGGCTGTGCAGTCGTAGGTGTAGAGTGAGTATAGGAGAGCGCTCAGTACACACCCCTGTGGAGCACCAGTGTTCAGTGTGATGGGGGATGAGGTGATGCTGCCCAGTCTGACCACCTGGCGTCTGTCAGACAGGAAGCTAAGGATCCAGCTGCAGAGGAAGCTGCTCAGTCCTAGATCCTGCAGTTTCCTGTCCAGCTTCGAGGGAACGATGGTATTGAATGCTGAGCTGTAATCTACAAACAGCATCCTCACATACGTGTCTCTCTTCTCCAGGTGTGACAGGGCAGTGTGTAGTGTCAGGGCTATGGCATCATCAGTGGACCTGTTGTGGCGGTATGCAAACTGTAGAGGGTCCAGTGAGTCGGGTAGTGCAGAGCAGATGAAGTCCCTGACCAGCTTCTCGAAGCATTTGCTTACGATGGGGGTCAGGGCTACAGGTCGCCAGTCGTTCAATGAGGAGATGGTGGAGGATTTGGGTACAGGGACGATGGTGGCCATTTTGAAGCAGGCTGGGACTACAGACAGAGAGAGGGAAAGGTTGAAGATGTGCGTAAACACTCCAGCCAGCTGAGCCGCGCATGACCTGAGGACGCGGCCGGGAATCCCGTCCGGACCAGTAGCTTTGCGCGCGTTCACCTTCCTGAAGCACTTCCGCACATCCTCCTCAGACACAGTGTGCGCACTGATGTCATCCGCGGTGCGCACACTGTCCGGTCTCATGGTGTTCGCTGTGTCGAATCTAGCGTAGAATACGTTTAGATCCTCACACAGAGAGGCCGTGGTCTGCGGTGTGCTGGTTTTCCCTCTAAAGTCTGTGATCGTGTTTAGTCCCTGCCACATACTCCGAGGGTTGTCGAACTGTTGCTCCACCCTGTCCCTGTACTCACGTTTGGCTGCTTTGATCGTCTTCCGGAGTTGGTAATGTGCGTGTTTGTAGTCCGATGTGTTCGCGGAGGCAAAGGCGGTGTTCCGTGCCGCGCGAACATCTCCGTTAATCCAGGGTTTTTGATTTGGGAAGGATTTGACTGTTCTGGATGGGACGACATCTTCCACGCATTTCCTGATAAATCCACAGACTGAGTCTGTGTACTCATCAATGTCCCTAGCAGCCACGTGAAACATTTCCCAGTCCGCGTGATCAAAACAGTCCCGCAGCGCAGACTCCGATTGGTCCGTCCAACAGTGCACCGCCCTCAGGGTTGGAGCTTCCTGTTTCAGCTTCTGCCTGTAGGCGGGCAGGAGCAGGATGGAGCAGTGATCTGATTGGCCGAATGGGGCGCGGGGGAGGGCTTTGTACGCATCCCGGAAAGAGGTGTAACAGTGGTCGAGTTGCCGGTTTCCACGTGTGTTGAAAAGGATGTGTTGGTGGAGTTTTGGTGAGACTTTCTTCAGGTTTCCCTTATTAAAGTCTCCGGCTGTGATAAACGCTGCCTCTGGGTGTGCGGTTTCCTCGCTGCTGATCGCGCTGTACAGTTCCCTGAGTGCACGGTCAGTGTCGGCTTGTGGGGGAATGTAAACAGCCGTAATAATCACTGCTGTAAATTCCCTCGGTAGCCAGAATGGCCGGCACTTAATCATCAGGTACTCCAGGTCCGGTGAGCAGAAGGATTTGACCGGGTGCACGTTCGCATAATCACACCAGCTGTTGTTGATCATGAAACACACCGCCGCCTCTGCTTTTCCCAGTAAGATCCTGTGACCTGTCCGCGCGATGCACAGAGAACCCCGGTAGTTGTATTGCGGAGTCCGGTACTTTGTCCGATAGCCAGGTTTCTGTGAGGCAGATCACGCAGCAGTCCCGCATCTCTCGCTGGAATGAGATCCGTGCCCGAAGCTCGCACAGCTTGTTCTCCAGAGACTGCACATTAGCCAGTAATAAACTGGGTAACGGTGGTCTGTAAGTGCGCCGTCTCAGTCGAACCAGAACGCCAGATCTTCTCCCTCTGCGTCGGCGTTTGCGGCCTCCAGGGCCAGAGAACAAAGGCGTCTCAGGTGAGATGAATGGGGGGTCTGCAAACGGAGCGTCCGTGTTGCAAAACTTGAACTCCGGAAAGTTATAAGAAAGACCGTCTTTTATGTCCAGTAAGGTTTGTCGGTTGTACACAAGGAGACAAGTGCTGCTCGTGAAAAAATAAAGGAAAAGTAAAATTAAACACAGAAGAAAGCCGTTGCTTGGGGGAGCTCGCGACGAGGCTGCCATACTCGGCGCCATCTTGAATTTCTTGCAGTCACACATGTTACTTAATACACATTAATAGCAGGTTTGAATGAGGCCTGTTAAACAAACATTTGTTAACGTGAGTTTGTGTGTTTCAGATGTACTTCAACACGGTGTTGACTGACTCAGCCAAGCTGCTGAAGCCTCTCCTAGTGTTCTCCTTCGTCATGCTGGCCATCCTGTCTGGGTTAACCAGGATCATCCAGTTTAGAAACCACCCTGTTGATGTATACTGTGGGTGGGTGCTGGGAGCTGCCATTGCTGTTTACCTGGTAAAAGTTACAATTACATACATCACGATGAAACACGAAAGCAATATTTGAAAGAATAACATAGCACATTACACTATATGCTACTGTAGTCATCTCACACCAGCTTCAGAGGGCCAGCAGTTACAGCGATAAAAGCACACAGAGTCAGATTGTTCTTCTTTCTAGATTTTTAGTTTTGTGTTTGATGAAGATCGTTTCGAGGTAATATAGCTGCTTTAGGACATGTGGCTCCAAACAGCTTCAGGGGCTGGAAAGAAATCTTTCTGCTCAACTGTAGTGCAGAAACTGTTGGACACCATCACCCTGCAGCCCACAAACACCCAGACACACACACACAAACACACACACTGCCTACACTTTTGTGCAAGAAGAATCTTTGAGGTTTTGCTGCAGAACAACTGTCCACCATCAGATGATTCTCCATTTAAAGTGTTTCACTGGAATAGCATCTCTGCGATTAAGTTTTTATTTTTTACTTGTCACTTGGATCTTCTCCTTGTAGGCTCGCTGCAGTCCGGACTCCTCTGGGCTGTTTTAGAAATATTTAGATCAGAATAAAAAGAAAAAACTCATTGAGGCTGAAGCATCCTGTTGTTTGGCTGCTGCACTGGTTCTGGTTAGCAGGACAGGGTGAGGATGAGTTGATAGCACACAAATAAATACTTTTTGTATTCCAGGTGTTCCACTCTAGCAGAATGTTTTCAACAACATGTGAAGCTGTCTGTCACAGTGTTGGCTGCGCTCTTTCGTTGCTGTGATAAGAGATCGGTGTGGAGAGATGATAGATGTACTGAGAAAGGAAATTATAACGCAAATTCATATTCTGCTCTTAAATAAAAGTAGACCTGACTGGCAGTTTTTATTTATTTTTTTCTCTTGTCAGCAGACTCCTGTGGCAGTTACAGGTATAAATCATTCACACCACCAAATTATAAAACAGTAACAGAAGCACAGGGACGGAGAAGTTTCCAGAATGCATTGCATAGCTACATACTTCAACAGTTAATGGGATGAGTAGAAATAACTGATCAAGTAGACACATGACCAAAGTGCCAAAATCACAACCTGGTAGCTTTTATTGTGAAACCCCCTCCCATACAAGTTCTTCCTGTACCATATACGTGCAAAGGACAGCTTCTGAAACAGTTGTGAACTTCTACTGTTCACATGTCCACAACTAGCATCTTTAGCTTTTGTTAATCTGCTATTCTCTCACTAGGGAAAACAGTGGGTGGGGACTGTGGCATGGCCAAAATGATTACAACCATGCACAGTGAACCTGCGATATCATTGCCTTTGAAATGGTTGCTTCAACGACAAGAACCAGGTCTGTGACCACTGGCGGTCAGTTGGCCAGTGTGGAGCAAGAGCGAGTATTGTCTTTATGGAAAAACCAGGATTAATGATATAATACATGGACACAGTGAGTAAATCAACTGGGAATCTGATCAAACACAAGACAGAATAGACTGGCAGCATGTTGCTTTATTGCTTATAACTGATTTAATTGCATTGGGTGCAGTCTGCTGCTGTCTATTGTGGCCTGGCCTGCAAATAGCATGTCCTGCTACATCTTCAGAGCAGCTGCCAAAAAACCTGCTACAGTACCAAGTCTGGGTGACACTTGTCCAACATAGGTACAGTCCCCCACTTCAACCACTGCAGTGTGAAAAAGGCTTCAGGAAACACCTCGCTAATCTTTCCATCAGGCCATGAAGCTCTGGTTAATTGGGGATCGACAATTATGACATTATCCAGCTGAAGAGAGGCTGTATCTCACTGCCACTTAAACCAAGTTTGCAGGGCCGCCAGATAGTGGTGCAGAAACCCTGTCCAGAAGCAGTCAGACAGCACTTGACAGGCCCTTCAGTGTTTACGTCTAAACCGCCCTGAATCATGATGTACTGCCTACGGTGCTGAAGGCGCGGACTGCCCCATCAGCCACAAACTGGCTGGATCTGGGTCTGTCAAGCGTAATGTTAGGAATGCCCTCAATCTCAACCAGGAATATTAACACTTCGTGGCTGATGACTTCTGAGCCCAGGGTTGCAGTCAGGGCAGTGCTCAAAGTACTGATTTTGCTCTCCAAGGGGCCTCCAAATTCAGGAGCTCTGGTGGGTTGCAGTGCAATTGTATTTGGTGCTCCGACAGCTAAGTCTGTGGGGGATTGAAAGTTTCTTGTAACTTCCTGTCACCACCTTCTAAATGTGAAAAGCAGACCTCAATGTTTTTCACGCCAACGGCCAACTTTAACCTGCAGTGGTCCAAAACAGTACATTTCTGTTGAGATATGAAGTCAGAGCCAAGCAGGAAACAGGGTCTTTGGGCTGATTGGTTGGGCTCTCCATCTTTGGCAAACAGAACAAGAGTGCTGTTCTCTTCTAGCAGCCTCACAGCCACAAAGGATCCAAAGCTTTGTCCTCAGTTCAGCAAAGAGGCCCTCTGCACCAGGGTGTTTCACATTAAACTCCACGTGTCTGATTAACAGCTTTGCCACCACATCTCAAGTCAAGGACTACAGGGGAAATCATCCTCCAGACTTTGACAGTGCCATAGACAACCACCCACCCGTATCAGCTGAAGTGATTCATCATATTGTTGGTCCAAGGTCATCAAGCAGTTTGATTAAGGGACCCGATTCCCACCTGTTCTCCCACCTGCACTCAATTTCTTCAGGAAAGCTGTCTCATTAAGCAGACTGCAAGATGCTGGCCTCTGATTCCCAGAATTCGTCCACTATCGAGGTCTCTTCAGTGTTTAAAGCCACCCCGTGAAGGTGCCACGTGGTTGCCTTCACTAGTTCATTGAAGGTGCTAATCTGCTGAGCATCAGGTAGAGTATATCAAGGGGTATTTACTGCTGCAACTAGCCAGGACGTGGACCTTCTTTGCTCGTCCGTGATGCCTTCATTGTATAATGTGTATAACAGTATTTATAATAGAGTAAACCGTCCAATGGCTCGGTGGCAGCTACAGATTGGCTATGGAACCAAAGACTGTCAGCAGTCTTACCAGCTTGATAAAAGGAGCCTCCAAAAAGCCTGACTTGAGAGGGCTCCTTTGTGAACTGAAGAAGTCTTTTGGATGAGAGGTGAAACATCTTCACAAATGTAAAGAAGTCCATTTGCCCCTTTTTAAAGCTCTTAAGACCATCATCACCTGGATGACTGAGAACATAAAACGCCCATATTTTCCAGTAGTGTATTGCAGAAATAAGATAAGATAAGATAAGATAGAACTTTATTAATCCCTCGGGTGGGTTCCTCTGGGAAATTCGATTTCCAAAAAAGCACAGCACCGACAGAAGTTACAGAGTTACAGAATATTATATATATATACACACACACACACACATATATATATAAATACAGAGACAATATAAATAAAATATACGAAGGGGATAAATAGAATAAATAGGAATAAAAAATAAAAAATAAAAATACAAGTGAATTGCACATTTCAAGTATTGAGGTCTGTTGCACTGTTGACTATTTACAAAAGTATTGCACAAAAGGAAATGCAAACACATGAAAATGCAAAACATAACTATGTGGTTTTAGAATATGACACATCAAAATTCCACATTTGCCAATTTTTCTAGTTGACGTCTTTGATTATGTCAACCAATCGTTGAGGTCCTGCTGACATAGCTCCGAGTCTTCCTCCATTAATAGTTCCCTCATTTTGTTGATGACGTCATTGGCCTCTATATACACATTCACAGTACTTCTTGAAGGACTCACAATCACCATCTCCCTGATGGCTCATTCCTAGCCCATTCCTCCAAAGAGCATCTGGGCATAACATGGGGAACACTTAATGACAAACACCCACTCCTACACCTTAGGTTAGGAATTCTTCTCATATCACACCAGAGAAAGTATAATAGTGGCTGGTCTTCAGGTAGCAATCTCACCTGGTGGGATATTCCCAATATTCCTCATAGCAACAAAATCCCGCCTGAACGTCAGGAGGAACCCAGGAGAGATGCACTGAGGTTGGGTCTGGCAGTAGCAGTTCATCCAGGTTTTGGCCTTTGTATGTCAATGAACAGCTGAACACATCTTGATTTGTCTCATTATGAATCACCATATGATGAAGAATGAATCAAGACTGGAGGGTCTAACCTTCCCTCACTGTAATCACCTGCCTTCTCTAGCTTCTCAGTCTCAGCTTGGTAAGCCTCAGTCTTTTCTAGATAATAATAATAATAATTATAATAATTAATCCGGCTTCCTCCCACCGTCCAAAGACATGCAGCTTGTGGGGATAGGTTAATTGGATAATCCAAATTGCCACTAGGTGTGAATGTGAGTGTGAATGGTTGTCTGTCCCTGTGTGTTGGCCCTGCGACAGACTGGCGACCTGTCCAGGGTGTACCCCGCCTCTCGCCCTATGACAGCTGGGATAGGCTCCAGCGCCCCCCGCGACCCTGAAAAAGGATAAGCGGAAGCAAATGGATGGATGGATGGATGGATAATAATAATAATAATAATACATTTTATTTAAAAATAGTGCCTTTCAGAACACCCAAAGACACTGTACAGCAAATAAAACAGATATATATATAAAAACAGAAAAGCTGGGAATATACACAATAATAAGAGTAACAGATAAAAGTTAAGAGCATGCAGAGGTTTAAACATAAGCAATTTTAAACAGGTGAGTTTTGAGGGTGGACTTAAAATGAGGGAATGAAGTAATATTTCTGAGGTCAGGGGGTAAGGAACGCCACAGTCGAGGGGCAGAGCAACTAAAAGCCCCGCCCCTCATTGTAACTGGGGGGCAGGGCTAGATCTAACTAGATCTCCGCTGAGGCTCTATACCGCACAAGCTGGGAAGGACTGCTTCAGGCGCTGAAATGAGAGTGGGCGTGTTACTTGCATGTAGTAGTTGAGTGGCAAATCTGCATACTGATGCTACTTCCACTCTAGCTGTTTGCCTCCAGCAGGTTAATGACATCTTGATCCATGGCCAGTTTAATTACCAAAGTACTGCTGCTGAGGAGATGGTGGTCACTGCTGTTTGTGGCTGCACTGTTAACATGACTTGACTCGCAATGTCTAGCATGGTTTTCAGTGCTGCTGGCCCCCCAGGTTGGCTGAGATGGTAGTCCGATAGCTGTTGTCGGGACATATCAGCCTATCAGGAGTGGCTGAGCATTCATAAATGGTTTCAAGGGGAAAGTCTGGAGGTGCCTATAAGTGCACTGAAGTGCCTACACAGTTTAAAAGTGTTTGGCTACACCAAGCCCATTTTACACAAGACTTTTAACTGGCACCAGTCAGCCTGGTGGTGCAGTTCACATCACCAGCAGGGATTTTTTGGCTTTGACCTATGTATAGTTCTGCTGTCAGCTGTCTAAAATGTACACACTGATCTGATACATTTGGTGTTTTGCTAGAGTAAGAGTCATACGCTTTGACCTTCTCTGTGAGCATTTGGGGAATTTTGAGCTGTTGTTAGCAGAGTTGTGACCACATCTGAAGAGCAAGAGAAATCCTTTCAGAGAGCCAATTGATCCTGACCAGAGTCCAGTGTGTCTGATGTAAAATGGTGTTATTTTACTATTTGTATATTCAGTATTGGTGTTTTGAGCTACTAGTGCAGTTGTTGCCAAACGGAGTGGTCTAATTAGCTCGATCTGTTTAATCCAATCAGGGAAATCTCATCTGCACATATGCGATTATGTCAAGCAGACCCAAAAGGGCAGACAAACTCAAAACAACCCAAACTCACAATGCAGTGATGAAGGTTATTTACCGTGCAATTTGACGACACAGGAAAGTACTTATAGGCTGGTAGCACATGAGGGATCGGAGGGGAGAGGGAAAACTTGACATTTTAAATTGCCAAGTTAACAAGTGGAGTTATCGAGTGAATCAATAAATCCTACCTGTCACACTTTTTACAGCAGACAGCTGGCTGAGCAGGTGAACAGGTTAGTAGGCTGGTAAGTAGGCAAACTGAGGCAGGCTGGTGACACTGAGACATCCAGGTAAGGGGAACGCTGGCACGTCGGAGCGGTGAAAGTGGCAGGAATCCAGCGCGGTTCTTCTGGCAGCTCTTGGCAGAAACAGCCATGCAACCTTGACAGAGGTTTCTCTGCAGGAGAGAGTGAGTCTTGGAATAGACTTGTTGCCTCTGAAAAAAAAACAGCTGCCCCATAAACATGCCAAACAATCACCAGATGAGCCAGAGAAACCCTGGATGCCTGTCCATCCACGTATTACTAAAGAGACTGAGGAAAGTCAAAAACAAACTCTGGTCAGCCTTTATCACAACCAGTGTTTGAAAAATCAAATGCTGCAAATCCGTCCCACAGATTTGTTGGTCTGAACAGCTGCATTAAGATTAAGTGAAGCAGAAGAATATTTTTCACAAGTGTGTAATGGCCTTGAGGTGTCTTTGAACTTGAGATGATCACAGAGCTCTTGGTATTTAAACCTATGGCATCAGGTAGAACAATCTTTTCCTCAGTCTAAAGAGTTTTGCTACAAAATTGATGTGACACAAAAGATAAATACATGTCAGTAACAGGTGATAATCATATGTCAGTGCAGTCCCCAAAATAGTAAAAATACACATTATCTTCCAGCGATTTAGTTACAGAAACATCACTTTTACCTTAATCTTTGTTTTTTTTGATGTTGCTATTTTTTTAATTTAAAACATACAGACTGAAAATCTCGTTGGTTCAATATTCAAAAGGTTCTGTGTTAGCTACATGCTTCTCATTACTGTCAGTGTGTTTGGATGCAGGGTGTGTATGCCGTGGGGAATTTCCAGCCTAGTGAAGATTGCTCCGGGAGTACACAACCTGCCCCCATACTGAGAGAGCCACCCCTCTCCTCCTTGCCCAATGTCAGCCAGTCAGCAATTGGCAACAGCCACCAAGGTAAAGCTACGCCTGCTACTTTAGATTACAGGTTACATCATCCTGACATGTCGATTAGTAACATTGTTTCCAGAAAGAATGTTCTTAACAACTGTTTTTGATCTGAGGGGCTCTCGGGGTTCAGCCCAGTCCTAACAAGTGTGATCCTGGGCCAGTGTGAAAATACTTATAACTCATGGAAAAGCTCACAGTATGACTTTCAAGAAGCTAGAACTTGAAAATCTTTGGCATTTTTGCTTGATTGAGATTAATTTTCTTCATTATTTTGCTGTGATTGATAACTATAGGCAAAAGAGTTGTGTATATCCAGTGAGCATGAAAATACTAAATGTCAGATTTTATTAAGTGGGTAATGTGATGTTTAAATGTCACACGATTCCTAAAGTTGATCAGCTGAAAGGTCTCTTGATACAGCTGTTGTTGTCAAGTAGTATTCTCAAGACCACTGTAGTCAGTCGACTCCTCCGAATTTAAATATTCATCTTTTTTTAATAATTCATGTGTTGAAATGTGAATCTTGAGTGCTGCCATTTATAATGAAGACTGGCTAATGTAAGTGAGCTCCTAATCAGAAAGGACTGCTGTGGTTACCGACTGCACTAATTCATATTTAGTGGTATGATTTCAATTCAGTTCAGTTCAAGTCACAACAACAGTCGCCTCAGGACGCTTTATATTGTAAGGCAGGCCCGACAACAAGACATTTAAATTACCACTTTTGAGCAAGCACTTGGAGACAGTGGGCAGGAAAAACTCCCTTTTAACAGGAAGAAACCTCCAGCAGAAGCAGGCTCAGGGGGGGCGGCCTGGTTGGGGTGATGGGAGGAAGACAGGATTAAATACACACTTTGGAAGAAAGCCAGAGATGAATAATAAGTAAGGATTACATGCAGAGTTATGTAAAAGCAGATAGTGAAGAAGAAATACTTCATGGGAAGCCCCCTGCAGCCTTGGTCTCCCATATGGAAAAGATTTATATAAATCTTATAAAGTTTGTATCTGTCTTGTGTGAAACTTGTATGAAAAGCATACAAGAGTGAAAACAGATCTATATAAATGAAACTTGTATGTTTTGGATACTTCCTAAAACAATATATGAAAGTAATGAGAAAGTGGCCACTTTCATGAGTAAATCATATAAGCCTGATATGATTCACTATATGAAGTAGGTCACATCTGATGCAAGTCTTTTATAAGTTTTTACTATTTCTTTTCCATATGGGCTATTACAAATATGAAATAAAGCACGGTGGATTGGAAGATGTGCAGCAACTGTGGCCACGCCCAGCCCATTATCAGCTGATGTGGGCTGGCACTGAGATCAGCTGATCTGTTTGCACTTGAGCTCAACGTCATAAACTGTCTATGAAATATCTCCAAAAGTTGATTCTGTTCATCTGGACGCAGTGTTTTCAGTGGGAGAAACGTTTTGTCACTCGTCCAAGTGACGTCTTCAGTCTCAGCTGACTGCAGGTTTCAATCTTATAAACAGGACATCTGCATAATGACTGAAACCAGCTCAGTGAAGGAACAATAGGCTGGGAGGTCAGTTCCTTAACCTTCCCTGTCCAGGATGTTACATCCTTATCGTTGAAAGAGTGTCCACTGGCCTGTAGGTGTAAACAGAGTCCTGGCCTGACGAGGTGGCTCTTCTGTGTTGTGCCATCCTCTTCGCCAGAGGTTGTTTGGTTTCCCCGATGTATAAATCCTGCCAATCCTCCTGCACTTAACAGCGTACACTCTGTTACTCTGTTTGTGTCGAGGGACCCGATCCTTGGGGTGGACCAGTTTTTGGCGCAGCGTGTTTTGGGGTTTAAAAGCCACAGTCTAAGAAGGCTAACCTGCCACTCTTAGACTGTGAGATTTCCATCAGTAATGGGGGACATCTAAAAGTGTACCGTAAACTTACACAAACAGATCAGTATTCAACATTTGACTCTCATCATCCACTGGAGCACAAACTGGGAGTCATCAGGACGCTACAACACAGAGCGAACACCATCCCCACTGACACAGCAGCCAGGGAGGCAGAAGAACATCAAGAAGGCCCTGAGTAAGTGTGGTTACCCCAGCTGGACTTTTGTCAGAGCTGGGAAGGCTCCAAAAGAAAGCTTCAGCTGATCCAGGAGAGAAGGACAACCGCTGCCTAAGAGAAAACCTGTAGTGATCCCGTACATGTTAGGAATATTGGAACAGCAGAGACGCATTTTCTCTAAACACCGCGTCTCTGTGGCTTTTAAACCCCAAAACACGGGTCCACCCCAAGGATCGGGTCCCCGGACACAAACAGAGTAACAGAGTGTACGCTGTTAAGTGTAGGAGGACTGCCAGGATTTTTTTTTTCTTTCGCCTGTCTCGTTTGGTTCTTTTGCATCAGAATTGTTGTCTAAAGGCAAAGAAAGATGCCCAACGGATTTACTTTACCAAATAGACCATCCCAGCCTTGCCGTAATGGTCTATTTGATTCACCTTTTATTGTTTATTTTATTTATTTTTTTATTTTCACTTGCTAGATACGGGACAGACTTGAATGAGGAAAAGAAAAGGGAGAAAGGAAGAGGGGAAAAACAGTGGAGAAGAGGGACGGGGATAAATGGCAAAAAAACAAAAACCAACAAAATAAGCAGACAAAAAATGCATCTATCAATCACCTGGATCACCTGTTGAGAAAGAAAAAAGAAAACAAGCAGAAGAGAACAAGAGTAATAGAATAAACAGCATCACAATGATATATGGGAATATGACAGTAAATACTAAATATTAAACATTATTGTGCAGCACATAAGATCAACAGAACACAGTGTGCTTTGAGGTAGGAGCCAAAAAGGGTGTAGTTTGTGGGTGTGATCACCCGTGTGTACACCTGTGAGCATGGACGCGCTTGTTTTTAAAAGGTTCATGTAATGATCTGTTAGAGGGTGTGGGGGGCCACACCCTCTAACAGATCAAAACTCCAGACATCCAGAGGCCCCCAGAACACAAGCGACCAAGGAAGACCAACAGAGGGGCAGCCGCGCCACTGTCCCAGAAAGAGCTGAGGAGAGTCCCAGATGAGGGACTTATGCCAGGATTTATACATCGGGGAAACCAAACAACCTCTGGCTACAACACAGCAGAGCCACCTCGTCAGGCCAGGACTCTGCAGTCTATCTACACCTACAGGCCAGTGGACACTCTTTCAATGATGAGGATGTAACATCCTGGACAGGGAGGAACGCTGGTTTGAGGGCGGAGTCAAGGAGGCCGTTTACGTGAAAAGGGAAAGACCATCTCTGAATGGAGGAGGGGGCCTAAGGGTACATCTGTCACCATCTTCCAATGCTGTGATTGCAGCCATTCCCCAACTCTCTGTGAATGGGACTCATGGTTGTTGATCAATGGTTGTTGATCAATGGTTGTTGATCAATGGTCATGAGAATTTGCATAATTAAGATCAATGAACTGACCTCCCAGCCCATTGTTCCTTCAGTGGGCTGGTTTCAGTCATTATGTAAATGTGCTGATTATAAGATTGAAACCTGCAGTCAGCTGAGACTGAAGACGTCACCTGATGATGACGAAACGTTTCCCACTGAAAACGTCCAGATGAACAGAATCAGCTTTTGGAGATTTTCTTACCTGGATGACTGAGCGTGCATCAAGATGTCTATGAAATACTTACCTGAACACCGTGATGTCACCTGTTGGTTGGTTATGTGCGCTTATGAAGCTATGAACATTTTCATGATCTTAGCTATTTTTAAACCAGATGTCGTATCAAACTTTGAAAATCATCGGCTCGTGATTTGTGAATGAAAAGTCAAGAACCAATAAGCATAGACTGGTTTCACCTGCTCTAAAGGGAATCATAACTTACACACTGAACATCACTTCGTTTTCAGCATGACCTGAAACTGGCGAATGAGACCATAACCTCGACATGAAAGTGTTTAGTGTGGTCACAAACCCTGAGAGCTGGTGTTTGTTTCCCATAGAGCTGAAACAGAGGAGCTGCTGGCTATGACACACTGACACTTCTGTGGCTTCACCCTTTCTAACCTGTTATTAATGTTTGCCTTGGCTTTGTTGTCTTCTGATAGGCCACCACACACTGGGTCCCAGCCAACCAGAACCTATTATTACAAGGACTTCTTCCCACCCCTTAGTCCCAGAGCAAACAGGACCCATGCTAACGCGTAGCGCCTCCTGTCGAGAGCCGTCTATGACCAATATGAAGAGAGCCAGTGCTGAAGTGGAGGTGATAAGTCCGTCCAGTCCGTTAGGCAACCGTGACAACATGATGACCTTCAGCAGCAGCACACTGCCAAGGTAGCTGTTTTTTAATGAGTCCATAGTCATAGTTGCACTTTGGAATATCTAGTTTTTTATTGTTTTAGTTGAAAAGATATCATGTTTATTTTATCCATTTTTTTCAGTAATTTTTTCCAGCAAGTAAAATTGTCTGTTTTAGAGATTCTGGAAAGTAAGGAGTTGCAGACCAAGACGAGCTGTCTGCAGGGTCCATGATCTTTGGATCGTTATAAACCGTGGAATAATGGCAATGATTAGGAAACCTGATGTAGTTTCATGTTGAGGGAGTGTTGATGGGCAATATGAGGCTGATGGGTCATTGTCACCACCTCGACAACGTTCGGGGGGGTGGGTGTCATGGACACCTACGTTTGTGAGCGTAGGTGTCCATGACTTCAACGTCACAGGTCACGAATTCTTGTCAATGTGATAACTTGAAAACAAGAACACGTAGCAAATTGATACCATGTTGTCTAGAAGGCTGAGGGAAGCACTGGTGGTCGCCAGTATTTTTGAATTCCACTTTATACAATCATGTGCCAGGTGGAGGTTTTTAATAAGTAAAGTAAAATGTTATTTATATAGCACCTTTCAAGATAAAATCACAAAGTGCTTTACAGAGGCAGAAAACAGACATCAAAATCTAAAACAAAACAAAATCAACCAAAAGCGAGTTTAAACAGATACGTTTTTAACTGCTTTTTAAAAGACACGACTGAGTCCACAGATCTCAAACTCAAAGGGAGCGAGTTCCAGAGTCTGGGAGCCGCTGACGCTCTGTCACCTTTTGTTTTTAACCTTGTATGCTGGACAACCAGCAACCCCTGGTCACAAGACCTCAGGGACCTGCTGGGGTGATAAGAACCAAGAAGATCACTGATGTACGTTGGAGCTACAAAAATATTTGTGTTTGGGTCCATTTGAAGTTCAACGACTCTGATACTCAGAAAACGGCTGAGTATCGTTTCCAGGTCCTGAATGTTCAGAGGAAAAATGCAGAGTGGAAAGCTCTCATGCAAAGTTCCAGAGAGACATTCGGGACTGCAATCTCCTCTGCTTCACCGAGACATGGCTGAACCCAGCGGTGCCGGACCACGCCATCCAGCCGGCCGAGTTCTTCTCGGTTCACCGCATGGACAGGACACGGGACTCGGGGAAGTCAAGGGGAGGCGGCGTGTGTTTAATGGTGAACAACAACTGGTGCAACAGTGCGAACGTTGTTCCTCTCACACGCTCCTGCACACCAAATCTGGAACTACTGTCCATCATGTGTCGTCCTTTTTATCTACCTCGGGAATTTACATCGGTCATTGTAAGTGCCGTTTATATTCCACCACAAGCGGACACGGTCACCGCCTTATGCGAGCTGCATGAGGCACTCACACAGCACCAGACACAACACCGGGACGCTGCGCTTATTGTGACGGGGGACTTTAATAGCGCCAACCTCAAACGCGCAGCGCCGAACTTTTATCAACATATCACCTGCCCCACCAGGGGTGAAAGGACACTGGACCACTGCTACACTACGGTCAAGGACGGCTACAAGGCACAATCCCGCCCTCCGTTTGGCAAATCTGATCACGCCGCCCTCTTCCTCATGCCAAAATACAAACAAAGGCTGAAACAGGAAGTTCCAGTTCAGAGGAAGGTCGCGCGCTGGACGGATCAATCGGTGGCCGCGTTACAGGACGCACTCGATGACGCAGACTGGGGCATGTTCAGAAACAGCTCCGACGATGACGTCAACGTGTTTACGGAAGCGGTTGTGGGATTCATCGGGAAACTAGCGGATGATACCGTGGAGACAAAGACTATCACAACGTTTCCCAACCAGAAGCCGTGGGTGGATAAAACCATCCGCGACGCTCTGAGATCCCGCACCGCTGCCTACAACACGGGACTCACGACGGGGGACATGGACCCGTACAAAGCCGCGTCATATAACGTGCGGAGGGCGGTGAAAGAGGCGAAGCAGCGCTACGGGAGGAAACTAGAGTCACAACTCCAACAGAGTGACTCTAGGAGCCTGTGGCGGGGACTAAGGACAATAACGGACTATAAAGCACCAACAACCGGTATGACGAACGCGGCCGTGACTCTGGCAGACGAGCTGAACACTTTCTATGCTCGCTTCGAGGCTGCAGCTAAGGTCTCCAACAATGCTAGTGTTAGCGGCGCTAACGGCTGCAGACAGGAAGATACTGCCAGCACCGGAAACGTGCTCGTCATCTCCGAGCATGAAGTAAGGAGAGCCTTCAAGAGAGTGAACACCAGGAAAGCAGCAGGACCAGACGGCATCCCAGGTCGTATCCTAAGAGACTGCGCATACCAGCTAGCTCCTGTGTTCACTGAGATATTCAACATCTCTTTATCTCAGTCGGTGATCCCCACATGCTTCAAAGAGTCCATCATTGTTCCTGTCCCGAAGAAACCCCACCCTGCTTCTCTCAATGACTATCGCCCTGTAGCCCTCACCTCAGTAGTGATGAAGTGCTTTGAACGCCTGGTCAGAGACTTCATCATTTCTTCACTACCAGACACACTGGACCCACTACAGTTCGCTTACCGTCCAAATCGTTCCACAGACAATGCCATCTCTCATCTCCTCCACACATCACTCACTCACTTGGACACTAGAAGGGGGAATTATGTTAAAATGCTCTTCATAGACTACAGCTCTGCATTTAACACCATAATTCCCTCCACACTCACCACCAAGCTGGAGCATCTGGGACTCAGCTCATCTATGTGTCAGTGGATCTCCAACTTCCTAACTGGCAGACCACAGGCAGTAAGGATGGGCGGACATGTCTCAGCCTCCACCACTCTCAGCACTGGAGCCCCCCAGGGGTGTGTTCTGAGCCCCCTGCTGTACTCTCTGTACACATATGACTGTGTGGCCACTACCAGCTCCACCACCATCATCAAGTTTGCTGACGACACCGTCGTGGTGGGCCTGATCTCTGATAACAACGAGACGGCCTACCTGAAGGAGATTAGGAATCTGGAGAACTGGTGCCAGAGGAACAACCTCCTTCTAAACATCAGTAAGACAAAGGAGCTGATAGTGGACTTCAGCACTAAGCAGGAGAGGAACTACCAGACCCCCGTCATCAACGAGTGCCAGTGGAGAGAGTGGACAGCTTCAAATACCTCGGAGTTCACATCACGCAGGACCTGTCATGGTCCTGTCACATCAACACCGTGGTGAAAAAGGCCCGACAGCGTCTCTACCACCTCAGACGCTTGAGAGACTTCCAACTGCCCTCCAAGGTGCTCAGGAACTTTTACTCGTGCACCATAGAGAGCATCCTGGCGGGAAACATCTTAACCTGGTTCGGGAACAGCACCATGCAGGACAGACGAGCTCTACAGAGGGTTGTGCGATCAGCTGAACGCACCATCCGCTCCGAGCTCCCTGACCTGCACTCAATCTACAGCAGGCGGTGCTGGACCAAGGCCAGGAAGATGGTGAAGGACCTCAGCCATCCCAACAACAGACTGTTCTCTCTGCTGAGGTCAGGAAAGCGATTCCGCTCCCTGAAGACCAACACAGAGAGACTGAGGAGGAGCTTCTTCCCGCAGGTGATACGGTCTCTCAATCACACCACCACACAGTACTGACCCACACATATGGTTCTTACACACACACTGGACTTTCTGGACATTGTTTTCACTTCATCACTTAAATCACTTTAAGCATATTTGCACTGCACAAGTCATAATGTGGATTGCACAACACTGGTCACTACATTCTTCATTTCCGGTTAATACTTGTACAGCTGCTGTTATTGTGTGTATATTTATTTATATTTAGATTTCTTCATACATTCTTATATAGTTCTATATTGTGTATTTTGTTGTACAGTTATTTTATTTTCAACTTTAATTTATATATTTTATCTTATTCTTCCCAGTTAAATTTACCCTTCATTCTAATTTGTGTTGTACAGTTATTTCATTTTTAACCTTAATTTATATTTTATTCCTTCCTAGTTAAATTTACACTTTTTAATTTTTCATATTTATTTCCTATCTTATTCATAGCCTTTTCCTTTTTTGTTTTCTTTAGGTCACGAGCAGTTGTCCAAGCATTTCACTACATATCGTACTGTGTATGACTGTGTACGTGACAAATAAAATTTGAATAAAATTTGAATTTGAATTTGACTTAATGTAGGTCATTTATTCTGGCAACAGGATTTATATTAACTTTCTAATAAACTAATAAACAAGTATTCTGAACACATGTTTAATGCTGCTTTACAATTTGAAGATAGAGTATCATATACTGTTTAATGGTCTCGGTAGGCTACCTGGAAGATCATCGTTTTTCCCAAGCAAACAGTGGGAGGTTTGGGGAAGAACAAACATGGAAGCACTGCAACACCAGTTCTTTGTATTCAGCCCTCGTACATCAGTAATAATAGCCTGTTTTTCCATTCACACACTGCAGCTAGAGAGATGTGTTCAGAGAGATCTGTCTGATCTGTAGATGTGAGAAACCCAAATATCAAGTCGTTCATCCGGGTAACACTGAATCTAGAAGTAGGTGAACAGAATGGAAAATGTAAGTAAAAAACTGAATGCCAGTTTAATGCTGCCATTACTCTTTGCCTTTTCTGGATGTAGCGTTGGCGGTGGCTGTTAACAGGTTAACTGTGATGGAGCGGGACCTCTGCAGGGACGCCGTTGGCCGTAGAATAACAGAACTGCAGCGTGCAGTCATTGGCATTCGCTGAGCATATGAACAGACTAGATTATGCTGTAGGAGTAAAACAGTAAGTTCTTGTTGTGTTTATAAGAGAAGACAAAGTGTGTTTTATGTGCAGATGAGTGAACAGTTCGTTCAGCCGTCGTCTTTATTAAGCAGTCTTAGCTCACAGAGTCCGCCGCCACTGAGTACACATTGAGACGTGAAATACCAGTACATACATACGTGTGTGTGTGTACACTTTTTGTTTGTTATTGTGTGAATGCATGTAGTTGGAATATTATTGGAAGTTTGGAAATACATTTGTATATTATTTTTTCTTTAATTTCCACAGTCGGCCTTGAGTGCCTTTGTTCCCACGGGCAGTGTGCAATGACAGAGACAGCAAAGGGATTTCAGAGGTGACAAAATTGTCTGTTGATGTGAGGAAGGAGCCTCACAGTTTGTGTGGTGACACTGAGAACAACTGGTTTGGAAACGACTTGGACAGAACCACTGTGGAGCAGGGACGATGATGCAAAACGGCTCTCTGATGGGGCGGTGTAGCTGTTTCACTTTATAGGTTTATACATGTACAAACAAGTATTTGAGTAACGTACTAATAGATGACGTCCCCAAGGTAACAAGAACAAACAAAACCTGGATCTAATGTTTGTGTCTGTAAAAACAAAGATCCCCTGAGGCACAGGATGTTTAAAGACAGACGGCTCAATGTGAAGCATCTTACAGGAAAAAACACAAAAAGGCCATTTTTAGCCTTTATTGGACAGAGACTGTGTAGATGGACAGGGAGACAGACTCAAAGCCAACAGTGTTAGCAGAACAGTCCAAAGCAGCGCCTGAGTAGAGGTGGGAGATAACAAAGTACAAATACTTTGTTGCTGTACTTAAGTAGAATTGTCAGGTACATGTACTGGAGTATATATTTTTCTGCAAACGTTACTTTTACTCCCTATATTTAGGCAAAAATCTGTACTTTCCTTACATTTCTACACAGGCTTGTTGTGCAGTCTGTCATGATTAGGCTGTGTGGCAGGCAGGAGAGGACCCAAACGCAAAACTCACGGGGACGCGGGGAATAAACTCAGAAAGCACAGCTTTACTGCTGGAAAGACGGATCACGAATAATACAAAACTAAACTGGGAAAAACTAAATATAAAGCTCACCAGGAAACACAGAGAGAGTCACACACAGCATGAGGGAGAACGCGACACTGAACCGAGGGAGACGTGGACATAAATGCACAGAGAGTAAACGAGGGAAGTGGGAGCACATCTGGAACACAGCTGACACAGATAATCGTAACGAGACAGGGCAGGAGTGAACACAACATGACGCACACTGACGAGAGACTGTCAAAGTAAAACAGGAAGTGCACAGAGGTTCAGACAGGAGGAGAGAGAGCACGGACATAACGGGCTGGGGAATAAAACACAAGGAGGGGAAACAAGGGTTCACAGATACACAGAGGGGAACCAAATAAGGAACATCTTAACAGAACCTAGGAACCAAGGCATGAATAAAGAACAAAATACAAAACACACGAAGACTAAGAATACCACGACAGTATCGCTTGCAGGGTTGATCTTCGGGGTTAAGGTGGTGCAGAAGGAGAAGCTGTGGCCTCGCACTTCAGACGAGTGTGTTATCTACTTCCTGAGCTAACTTCATTTAAAATGCCTTCGCTGAAAGCAGTCACAGAACAATTTGATGCCCTGCTCCTTTTTTGACGGCAACACTTGCTTGCTGCACAACAAAAAATCATTTGATTCTTTATGACTGCCATTTTTTCCTACTGACCTCAGAACAGCAAAAAGGCAGTCAAAACGCAGCAGAAGCACTGAGCCCTAGAAACAGAGCTGGTAAGAGTCACAGAGCGCCACAGAAACACAAGAGCCACATGTGCAACATGAAGAACAGCTGCATGCAGGCCATGGGCCTCTGCATGCTCCCTGTTATGTGGCTCACGCTGCTGTTCTCCTCTCTGGATGTTCTGTCAGATACAGTGGAACCAGTAACCTCAGCATCCAGTACATCGTCCTACTGGGGAGACTGGGGCTGCCGCTGGACAGCGACATGAATGCCAGTGCCCAGGTTTCTGTCCTCTGAGTATCCATACAGTGCTGAATTATTATTTTTTTAATTTAAATTGTGATGCTGTGTTATATTAGAAATGTCCAGACTTTAAACAACACCATAACATGTTTGGAAATGTTCATGGGCACAAAGATAACAGAAGGCTGCTCTACCAGAACGCTAACTGGGCATTTGTGCTTTCAGTTTATGAATTTGACAGAACAATTATATTTACCAAAATCAATTAGTCATTTGTGAAGATCAAGCAAAGAAGATCATGAGCTCAGTGCTGTCACTCTTTTCTTTCTTCTCATAGTGCCTTTATCTTTCTTTTCAGATCCCACGGAGGTTCCTCGCTGGAGGAAGGCCGTATTCCACGGCGTCACGCTTCCATCCACGCCTCGATGGACTCAACCCGGTCCAAACAGCTGCTCAGCCAATGGAAGAACAAGAACGACAACAGGAAGCTGTCTCTGCAGGTGATAGACGGTATCAGGCCCGCCTCCTCTTCATCTCCTCAGAGGAACATGGAGCTGCGCTGCTCCTCTGAGCCGTCTGCCATGGGTCTGGAGGTGGAGCTCCGCGGTGGGACCCACCTGCCTATAGCCACAGGCCAGGAAGCTGAGCTGCGTGCTGGGGCGCACATCCCAGTTCAGTACATGAAACTAGCAGCTAGCTCTGTTCCTATGGCCAATCATAATCATCTGTCCCATAATGGGAGCACTGCAGTGACTGGTGGGGCCAGAGTATCTATCCAGTCCCGACCTGGATCCTCTCAGCTAGTTCATATCCCAGAGGAGGAAAATCCCACCAGCAAGGATCAGGAGAGTGAATCCGAGGACAGCATCATGGACGGGGGTGGGTCAGTGAGAGAAAAGTGGCTGAGAGTGACGGAGAAGACCACCATCCCTTGCAGGCCTCTCAGTGCTGGAGGACAGCCACGTCTCATGCAGGTTTGTAACTTCTTTGACTTCTTTCTTTAAACGTCAGAACCAGGACAGTGACGTGTAGCAGGGTAGAGCTGCATTAGTCCAGGCAGGAGATCACAAGCACCACAGACGCCTTCCTACAGGAATCTACAGGGACTCATTTGAACAGCAGTATGGTTGCTGTTGACTGACAGCTCTTAATGCCATCCTTTACTTGTAATATACGTTTGTCCAGGCTTCAGTTGATGTTACCTGGCAGGATACAGTGTGTGCTTCCTCCTCAGACCACAAGGGGAACGTTTGTCTGTTACAGTCTTCCAAACCATCAACGTGTCTTTTAGACCCCATTCCCACAAAACTGCTCAAAGAAGTCCTGCCATTAATTAATGCTTCGATCTTAAATATGATCAACCTATCTCTAATAATCAGCTATGTACCACAGGCCTTCAAGCTGGCTGTAGTTAAACCTTTACTCAAAAAGCATCTCTAGACACAGCAGTTTTAGCTAATTATAGGCCAATCTCCAACCTTCCTTTATATCAAACATCCTTGAAAGAGTAGTTGTCAAACAGCTAACAGATCATCTGCAGAGGTTTATTTGAAGAGTTTCAGTCAGGTTTCAGAGCTCATCACAGCACAGAAACAGCTTTAGTGAAGGTTACAAATGATCTTCTTATGGCCTCTGACAGTGGACTCATCTCTGTGCTTGTCCTGCTAGACCTCAGTGCAGCGTTCGATACTGTCGACCATAATATCCTATTAGAGCGATTAGAACATGCTGTAGGTATTACAGGTACTGTGCTGCAGTGGTTTGTATCATATCTATCTAATAGACTCCAGTTTGTGCATGTAAATGGAGAGTCCTCTTCACACACTGAGGTTAATTATGGAGTTCCACAGGGTTCAGTGCTAGGACCAATTCTGTTTACATTATACATGCTTCCCTTAGGCAGCATCATTAGAAGACATAGCATACATTTACACTGCTATGCAGATGACACCCAGCTCTATCTGTCCATGAAGCCAGATAACACACACCAATTAGTTAAACTGCAGGAATGTCTTAAAGACATTAAGACCTGGATGGGCGCTAACTTTCTGCTTCTTAATTCAGATCAAACTGAGGTTATTGTACTCGGCCCTGAAAAGCTTAGAAATATGGTATCTAAGCAGATTCTTACTCTGGATGGCATTACCTTGGCCTCCAGTAACACTGTGAGGAACCTTGGAGTCATGTTTGACCAGGACATGTCCTTCAACGCACATATTAAACAAAAATGTAAGACTGCGTTCTTCCATTTGTGCAACATCTCTAAAATTAGAAATATCCTGTCTCAGAGTGACGCTGAAAAACTAGTTCATGCATTTATTACTTCCAGGCTGGACGACTGTAATTCATTATTATCAGGAAGTCCTAAAAACTCCCTGAAAAGCCTTCAGCTGATCCAAAATGCTGCAGCAAGAGTCCTGACAGGGACTAGAAAGAGAGAGCAGATTTCTCCTGTTTTGGCTTCCTGTTAAATCCAGAATTCAAAATCCTGCTCCTCACATACAAGGTCTTAAATAATCAGGCCCCATCTTATCTTAATGACCTTGTAGTACCATATCAGCCTATTAGAGCACTTCGCTCTCGCTCTGCAGGCCTACTTGTTGTTCCTAGAGTATTTAAAAGTAGAATGGGAGGCAGAGCCTTCAGTTTTCAGGCCCCTCTTCTGTGGAACCAGCTTCCAGTTTGGATTCAGGAGACAGACACTATCTCTACTTTTAAGATTAGGCTTCAAACTTTCCTTTTTGGTAAAGCATATAGTTAGGGCTGGACCAGGTGACCCTGAATCCTCCCTTAGTTATGCTGCAATAGGTGTAGGCTGCTGGGGATTCCCATGATGCACTGGGTGTTTCTTCTTCACTCACTGTGTGTTCACAGACCTCTCTGCACTGAATCATATCTGTTATTAACCTCTGTCTCTCTTCCACAGCATGTCTTTATCCTGTCTTCCTTCTCTCACCCCAACCGGTCACAGCAGATGGCCCCGCCCCTCCCTGAGCCTGGTTCTGCCGGAGGTTTCTTCCTGTTAAAAGGGAGTTTTTCCTTCCCACTGTCGCCAAAGTGCTGCTCATAGGGGGTCATATGATTGTTGGCTTTTCTCTGTATCTACTGTACACTATAAAGCGCCTTGAGGCGACTTGTGTTGTGAGATTGAATCTTCTGCAGATGATGCCTGGGGTGCCCTGAACCAGCCCCCATCCTGTATTAATGGCACACTTATTGTCTGGAGGCACACAGAGCTTCTCTGTGGAGAGCACAGAGAGTCTGTCACCTTTTCACCGTGTGCTTGCTCCAAGGGGAACTTTCTGTACACTGTAAGGTCTTCACCAAGGTTGGGCGAATATATCGACAACAGGCTGAGCCTTTCATTGGTTTTACACGAGCGATTTATTTATTTATTTGTCCATGAGTAAGTTTGCTAATAATGTTGGTTGAAGCCAAGAGAAGCAGTTAACAGAAAATATAATAGCGATGTTTTAACGGCGCCCTCCTCAGACTGCGTCTAAATGCAGTGATTGAAAGAACGGCAGCAGCCTGCGTTCAGAAAAAAACAAAATCATTTGATTGAAATAAAAAACCCAATAATGAGGGAAACAAAGACAAACTGGCTTCTTTTTCCACTATAACCCTGTTTATCTGTCTTACACACTCAAACAACAAATACAAAATTAAACAAAAAGTATCACACTCCACATGTTCACAGTCAGCATGCAGTACTCTGCATTTATTGGTTTCTTTGTGCTTGTGTGTTTGAATAACATTTGTGCTACATTCGAATGAATGATAACTACGACAACATGAGAAGATATAAAGAGAGTTCCATCAAAAACACTGGTCGTCATCTTTGACCAAACACACAGTTAATGTAGTTTCTTGTTTTCCAATAATCTTTAAACCTTCAGTTTGACACAATCCTGAGTTGTCTCATAAGGGAAACAAAAAGCTTCAGTTTGTAAAGCTGTCACATGGATTCCTCGTTGGTTTAAAAATAAAAAAGTAACAGTGCTTTATTACAGTGCTGGTGCGTTGCATCATGAGAGCCGCGGCTGCTGAGAAGCTGACACGGTCGTGCTTCTTAGACCTGTTTTCCAAGTGTGGAGAAGTTCACGTTACACTGCCTGTCTCTTATTTTCCAGGTCATAGCCTTATCTAAACAACAGGGTCTGCTTCACTCTCCTCGGTCAGAGGACGGTGGCAGCACTGTCAGTTGCACCGGATCCATTCGGTACCGAGCCCTGACAGACCAGGATCCATCTCCACCCGCTTCCACCACTGGAGCCGTGGGAGGAGGTCTGTACTTCTAATAGCGCAGATTCAGCCGACTGCTCATCAGTGAAACACAATGACTCGTAAATCATCCAAATTCTACTTTTAATTGAAAACAGTACAAGACAACATGTGACACTGAAACATTTTAAATGTAAACTCATTTGGATTTTGATCCCAGCAGCAGCTTTAAAAAACCTTTCCCTGCTTCCTTTAACCTCCCCAGGTCCTAGTTTGGAGACGCTGTGTGCAGTTTGGACCGTTTTTGATTTGATATTTAAAGTGTTTGTGCTCTTAAAAGCCTCTAAATGAAATCCCACAATGCATTTTGGGATTTGAGTTTTTTTGCTAAAAGAGTTTCCATTTGGGTCCAACCAAATTTAAAAGAAACAGGACATGTTTAGAGTGCTGATGAACCAAATCCTCAAGCTAGATGGGTTAAAGAGCAAAGGAAGAGAAGGTGATATTTATAAAAAATAAAATAAACAAGCTACAAAAAGAATAACACAGAATTAAGTACAGTATAATAATGATAAGCAGACTAAAACTGTGTGTAGTGCTGGCTCTGACCCTAACTGTGTAATGGCGTGACTTTAGGATCTGAATCCATGAATACGACAAGACTTCTTCGGTTGGCTGGTTTGAGACACACTTTGTTAGTTGGGGTGGGTTTAAAAATTAATTTAATCAAACGTGAAGCATAGTTTGGATCTTCTTTTGTTGCTGATTCAGTGAATTTTGGTCAGAGTGACGAAACCTGCAGCATCAGAGTCTGTGAGCTGTCGGCTTCCAGCCCCGACGGCGTGTCCGTGTTCGTGCCGTCGCTCTTTGTGTTCACGTCTTTCTGCAGACTCCGTTTACCTGCTCGTTAATCGTTTGGTGTTTGAGCTCTTTGGTGGTTGTTCACATAGTTTTGTGAGCTTTACACTGAAATTCTGCTGTTTCTGGCAAAATACATTCATATTGTAGCATATATTTATATTGGATTTTTACATGATTTAAAAATCGATATTGCATTATTCAAACTCAAATCAATTTGAATCGGGAAATAGTTTTGTTTTTAAACCCACTCCTGGAAATCAGTGACCATAGCCAGCCCTGTTGTTAGTAACTGGAGCTGGAACAAATGTGTAGTTCTCAGAATTGTTTCTTATTTCTCCGTCTAACAAAAGGACACATCCCATCATTGGGCTGGTGCATCCCTGTGAGCACCTACAGTAACACATTTTGCTGTTCATACTTTTCTGGCTCGTACTTACATGCTTGTTGATGATTCAGTTCGCTGAATACTTGCTTGCTCTTCTAGGGGGAGGTTTGGAGAGAACTGGGAGTATCGTTCGTGTTGAAGCCCACCCAGAGTCCAGATCAAACAAACCAATAGTGAAACCTCCGAGCACTGATGGAAGCGGCTCCTGGCGATGGAGACCACCAGAACAAAGAGCTTCCCTTCGGCAGTCGGCTTTCAACCTCAATGACCTGAACAGACACACGGACAGCTGCGATTCGCTGAAGGACGGTGGATCGGTGGATGGGAGGAGGAGTGTCATGGGGACAGAAACAGAGAGCGATGGGGGTGGGGACGCAGGGGGCAGTGGAATGGGAGGAGGAGGAGGTGTCTACGCCAGCCATCCACATGTTGTGCACCCGTTACATCCCTTACATCCAAATAATCCCAACAACTACCAGCACCTCAGTTTTAATCCTAACAATTCCAATAATCCCAGTTTTAACAACGCTCACGCTAACTTTAATCCTCCTTCTAACAACTCGAACATGCCGTTCACACCCACTGCCACCTTTGCTCCTCCCTTCCACCCCCACCCTCAAGCAGTCACCACTATCAGGGTTACACCAGTGGAGGCGACAGCTGCCAGCAGTGACGGCGGCTCGGACTGCCAGTCGGTTGCCTCATCCAGCCGTGAATCCACCTTGAGAAGGAAGAGCAGCAGCAACATGGTCCACGTCCAGGATCGAGGGCCTACCCCTGAATTCCACAACAACCACCGCCTTTGTGATGACGGCAACCGCCTTGACAACGAAAGCAGCAACCGCTTTCACGAAAACCTGCGAAGCTTTCAAGAGAACCCCATTCACCCCAACCACCCCAACAGGCAGCTGCAGGGAGTGTTTGGGCGTCCAAGCCCCACCCCTCCCCCTACTTTACCCCGCCCAATCCTGACTCACACTCCCCCGCCTACTTTTGGGCTGGCCTATAAAGAATAGCATGTTCAGTGTGAGTTATCCATCTATAACTACAATTATAAAAACAAGTAAACCATTCTAGACCAATGGGACGTTTCTGGAGATGATGTGAACAATCTGCTTACCACCTGCAGCCAATAGGACATGGTAAAAGACATTCACACGTTCTCAAATGACCAATCAGGCTACAGTAGATGGCCACTTTTGTCCAGCTTATTAAATTCTGTTAGCAGTAGGTTAGAGATCGACTTGGGTTCACAGGCCATAGACGTCGAGTCATGACTGCTCCCAGTTTGCTCCTGGTCAACATACAAGGAGTCGGTTGGACTGAGTTTGAGTCAACATTTCTTCTTATTTTACTACATATTTACATATTTTTATCACGTATCGCTACACTTGCTTCGTAGGCACAAAGATAAGAGGCTTAAATAAACTGCTGGTCTACGCTGGTATTATTACCCTGCCAGTGAGGACAGATTCACACTAATGACTCGCTTTTCTTTGGCTACAAAGCTCAGCTAAAACAGGGGTGACATTTCTACACATCCACGTTTTTGTCACACACAGGTAACATCGAACATCGTAACCACATGCCCTTAGATGGAAATTTGTATTCAAAGCCTATAACTGTGATTGTGTTTGTACATAAGAGTGTGGGCAGCCACAGGGGAAATTAAATCCACGGTCTTAATTATGTCTGGACTGCAAAGAGTCCCTTCTGGGTAATAACAATATATCTTATTTGATGGTGGTATTGTGTTTGTGTTGAATAAGAACAATATCAAGGGGCATATATGGTGTTTAGATACTAAAACAAGCACTTTTTCTCATGCTGTGTTTTATTGGTGCGCAGTGTATAAATGATTCTTACTGTGTGGTAGTTGTACTGACACACGCAGCATCGCCTGCACAAAGGAAGTTCATTCGTTTCCTGTTCTTTAGTTTGATTTCCCAGCTTTATGACTTGGTATTACAGCCACTCTAAGGACGAAACATGGAGTCATTACAGAATAAAGTTGGAACTGTTATGAGATAAAGTTTTATATGAAAATGTTTTATGATTAAAAAGATAATAATTATACGAGCACGCTGAAGTAACAGTGAGGATTTGTACTTTAAAGTGAAGAACGAGTAAATATAAGTGAAATGCCACTTTGTTCCGTTTTCAAAGGAAATCAGAATATTTTAAGAGAAAAAGACTAAAAAGTAAAAAGTGTACAGTATAATTAAAATGTAATTATCATAATTTAAATAACATTTTCAGGAAAAGGTCAAACTCTTAAAATAATCAAATGAAATTTTATTATATATGTTATTTTCAAAACATATAAATGATAAAAGATAAAATATTTCCATTAATAATACTTTATTATTTTACAAATAAATCACCCATTATCGAAGATTTTAAAAAAACGTTGGGAATAAACCAGAGAAAGGTTTTAAAAATTCTTTTTTTAACACTTCCCTGCTCTCTGTTCACATATTTATTATTTATTTTTTATAATGTTTCGCAGTTGTGGAAATATGAAATGAAAACTTTGTTTTTATCTCATACACTCAAATACTTTAATACTTGCATGTGTGGGTGAATTCATAGAGTATAGACAGTATTATTATTATTATTACTTTTTTCACTCAGTCATTGAAGTCAGTGGAAAAAAATGTTTTTGTTGTTGTTGTTTTCTTTTTAAATGTATAGATTGCCAGTTAGAAGAATATTTAATAGACATTTTCTTAACCCAGTGTTTACATTGTTCAATAAACTTTGTGCCCAAGTGCCATCAAAGAAAAGTCCTGTAGCTGTAGGCGAGTCACATAGATACCACGTGTTTGTGCAGGACTCTACTTTGTTTATCTTGATGAGAATCTGCCTAGAAACAGCAAAGTGACGTTGGGATTGTGAAAACATTCAGAAAGCACCAACATGTGCGGTGGGTGATTTCCAGCTGCTGTGCTGTGTAGATATCTATATACTTTCTGTACGTGTTTGCTTGTGCTCCAGTATTTCTTTGCTTATTGCAGCTGTCAGTGCAGTGAATGATAACGTTTGATGCTACTGGAAAGACTGGGCCTGTCGAGCTGTTTTTAAATGGTCAAGCGAGCTTTAGTAATATAGTAAATTTCAAAACAAAAGTTGACATAAATCGCTTTCAGTCAAAGATCTGTGACATGCTAACCACATAAGCACAATGGAAATCAGTGCAAGGCGAACTAAGGAGGAAGTAGAGGAGCTTGATAGGAATCACGAGGGAACCTCAGAAGATTATGGCAGAGGACTAATATGAAAGATACTTTTAGTTGTTACCCAACCAACAGACAACTTGAATGTACCCTGATCAAGAAGCACCAGTTTGATGATTTCCCGGCCGCTGAAGTCATTTTTGTGTTTCGGTTGTTTGTTCGAATTCTTTTCAGCTGGTTTTTTGTTGTTTTTGTTTTTTCGAGACCAGCTAAAGATGTTGTGTAAATTTGAAATGGTGTGTAAGTTGTGGAGGCTTCTAGCATCATCACATTAAAGAGACACTGGTTAACAAATGCATGTTTATTTGGGCCAATTGAAATATCAGAAGTGAAAGATATTTCTGAACACAGTGAATGATGCAGCTGTAAAAGACAGCGTGCTGACTGACGGACGCATCACTGTCCTCGTCTCTGGATCGCCAATAAAAACACAAATATATTCTGATTCCCTGGAGGTAGGGTTAGAGTTGTCCCTGAGAATGCCTTCGACTGCAGTTACTATCAGTTCTTTGATCTTCTGGTAATCGTTTTGTCTCTTTGCTATGAAAGATTTAATCTGGTAGGTATTTCCCACTAACTGAGCCCTGCAGTTCATTTCAGCAGTGGAAGTTAACTAAGTTTCTAGGTAAGCAGCAGTTGGTGAGCAGTGTATGCATGTGTTTTTAGCTCAGAAGGTTTGGTGAAGTTTGTAAGGCTTAAAAAAATTCATTTTTTTCTACTGCTTTACAAGTTTACAGGTAACTTTGTCCTGTTAATGGGAGAATGCAGAGTGGACGTACACGTATGAAACTGCAGCCAGAACACGTGTAGAATTGTTCCGACATGTTTGTGGTTCGTGCTCTGCATGTGATTCCAGTTCAGCTGCGTTTGACACGAATGCTGTGAGCGGCATGAGACAATGTTGATCTCTGTGTACAGGCCTGGAAAGAGAACAGTTTAAAGTGAGAGCAGGTGGAGAGTCACTTTGACTCGCCAAAAACCCAAAAGCCCAAATATTTCAAAGTGAACGTTTGCATTCTAAACATTTTATACTTGTGTGTCGCTTGGATGGAGTGAAACAGGCTGTGATAGTTGTGGAACAGAAAAATTGGTTTATGATTTGTGCTTGAAGGACAATTTGGAGTTTTATTAAGCTCTGGCAGGGACGTCATTCTGCATCTTAACATTCATAACTTGTGACTGGAGGTCATAAATGATTCTCATCTGGTTTTTTAAGCATTTGTATATTTCTAATATGAATATTTCTAAACACTTCTACTTCATTTTATCATTGTTACGATGTACAGTTTGATACTGGAGGAGTTTGGATGATGATACTGAAAAGCACATGTTGTCAGTTGATGAAGGTGAAGGACTTTGAGAGTCTGGGGATTCGATTTAAAGTCTGAAGCACACAACGACCTGCACCTATGCTCAGATGTAGTTGGAGTGTAATTTGGAACAACGTGGAATTGTTTCAAATAACATGGAATAATACAGTAATGATGTGGATAATCCCCCTGCCAATCGTGCACATGGTGTCATGGTGAGCCCAAGAACTAGAACTGTACAAGCCAAGTGTCCCTGCACCTGATCATTACTGTCACCGAAGCAGCTGCCAGGCTCCTCTTTATGCTCTGCGCGGATTTCTGGTTCTAATAATAACTTCATATAACAACAAGGGTTTTTTCTTTTTTTGCACCATCAGCCTTAATTTATAGTACAGTATAAAATCTCTGTAGAGCCATAGTGGGCCATGGTATGTGCTGTTCAAATATGCTGTGTTTGCACTGAATATTACAGCCAAGCAGACCAAAGCCAGTTTTTCAGGTCTGTGTTGCTTTAGTGTGTAGTTATGTTGTGGGTAGGTGCACAGTGCAAATTACAGCATACACTACAGTGTTGGTACATGGCTCAGTACTATGAATCAGTAGGCATGGTTTCACATGACCTGTTACTAATCGTGTTCACTGAAAGTAATATTTGAAGCGCTTCTCACAACTTATGTCAAAGTTGCAACCTTACAGTGTTAATTTGAGCTTACCTCTGTGTGTCACCATGGTGTGGAGTGTGTTATCAGACTAGAGTCTTCAGTGCACAGCGATCTTTGGTTTGGGAGTAGTAACAGTTATTAGCTAAGGACACCAGGGTTGCAGGTTTTTTCAGCTAACAGCTACACGGGTAACCTTCTTACGCTATCCTGCCTGTTGTTACACGATGTATGGCCTGCTGTTTACAACACATCCACTGTGTTCATTTAACCATCTGGTGAAATTATGTCCTAAAAATGTTTGATACAATGTAAATTACCCATAACTGAAACTATTTAATAATTGTCTTATTTATAATTGTAGGGTTATTTTTGTCTTTTTTTTGTTCAATCTCTCTTGATAGATACAATGTATAGATATTTTATATTGTTGTGTGTGAATTTTTTATATCTGCTTGTAAAATTTGTGGCTAATTATCATTCGGTTGTTAAGTGATGACGTGTAAACCCTGCTTCCAGGTGCAAACTACACTGTGTTCATTAAGGCTTTTGTCGTTTTAACGTGTTGTAATGCTTTGGATCTTGTTCTGTTTAATCTGAACAAGCCCCTAAAAACAGTCAGTGATCACTGCCGGCCTCGCTGGGTTTTTATTAGCTCAACTACAGCTCGTCGGCTCACGGTTTACCAGACGCCACATATTTGAACAGGACAGAAAAGAATCACTTGTAGGCTGAGAAAGATTAGAATGTGTGCATGAAGCTGGGGACCAGGATGTTTTCACTACAAGTAATACAAACATGCAGCAGTAGTGCTGGGATGGATCATCTCAGATGGTCTCCTGGCTGAAGTTTGGTCTGTTTTCAGCATCTTTTTCCTGTCATGTGATTACATTTGTCTCTGCCCATCAGAGGCTCTCGCCGTAACTTTTACTGAGGAGAAAAAAGTTAGTGTTCATCCTCCAGCTTCACTGTGCTAATGCACTTATGTTATCATAACCATTGCTCTGTAGCTAGCCACCAGCATTATATAGCAGCTAGCCCAACTTCAGTAACCCTACAAACTGTTGTTTAGTCTTCTGTCTTCATTTATGTTGTAAGTAATAGGGTTAGGGGTTAGGGATTTCAGAAATCCCTCAGCCAAAACGTGGTGTATCATCTTTACTTGGACGCTAGTGAGCTAACTGCCTGCTAACTGCCTGCTAACTGCCTGCTAACTAACTTCATAAATCCTTTTTCATGGATTCCTGGATGTTAAACTTTATTGTGACACCTGGTAGAGCAGCCACACAGTTTGTAACTCTCAGTGATGCTGCAGTGTTTGAGTTTGGACCCGGAAACAGCTAATGATGTCAGACTTCAGAGGCAGATTGCTACCATGTGCACTCCTGTGAGTCAGTATGACCTACAAACAGGAGTCTCACACTATCACATGTTGGAAATCAGATTTTTTTTTCAGGATACTAAAAACATGAGTTACAAGTCAGTCAAAAAACCAGTTGCTGCAGTTAAATTCATCTTGTGATGCTTCAATCCCCACTGACGTCTAACGGTTAAAAAAAAATGTTGACACTGTGGTAACAGGCCATCTTATGACCTGCCTAAGAAAAATATAACAAAATTGTCTCTGGCTGAATGAAGAGCCTGTTTTATCAAATCCTGATACAACTGGTAACAGTTTGTTGTGCATATCTGACTTATTACTAAATTGTTTCATGGTTGCTACAAATATTTGCTTGCAAAATGTCAATAAAGACAGAGTTTTAACCACAGGTTGCTCCAGGCAACTTGTTTAGGGTTAGTTGTAGGTTTCAACAGAAGAGGGCCTGAAAACTGAAGGCTCTGCCTCCCATTCTACTTTTAAATACTCTAGGAACAACAAGTAGGCCTGCAGAGCGAGAGCGAAGTGCTCTAATAGGGTGATATGGTACTACAAGGTCATTAAGATAAGATGGGGCCTGATTATTTAAGACCTTGTATGTGAGGAGCAGGATTTTGAATTCTGGATTTAACAGGAAGCCAAAACAGGAGAAATCTGCTCTCTCTTTCT